ACAGGTAAATAACAGGTTAGAATAAATCATAATCAATAGCAAACATGCAGACCAAGGAGTGCGGATAGGAGTCGGGTTACCACGTGATTAAAAAGGGATTAACGATGCTTTTAAAAGAAAATGTTGATATATTCGCATGGGAGGTAGCATACATGACATGTGTGCCCAGACAACTGGTCGATGACAAACTAAACGAGAAAGCAGGAAGTAAGCCAACTCGACAGAAAAAAGGGACAATCCAAAGACAGGAATAAAGAAATAAATGATGTGGTCGACAAATTAGTAAAATCAGGAATACTACGGGAATCACTTTTTCCATCCTGGGTAGCAAACCCGGTCTTGGTCAAAAAAGGAGATGGACAATGGAGGATGTGCATAGACTTCACGGACTTAAACAAAGCTTGTCCAAAAACTGTTACCCGCTACCATCTATCGATGAAAAAATTGAGTCCTTGCACGGGCACAAATGGATGAGTTTTTTGGATGCTTATAAAGGATATCACCAAATACACATGCATAAAGAGGACGAAGAAAAAACATCTTTTCACACAGAGAGAGGGAAATTTTGTTATATAAAAATGTCATCTGGATTAAGAAATGCAGAGGCAACATACCAGAGGTTAGCAGACAAAGTTTTTGAACCACAGTTCGGGAGGAATATCGAAGTCCATGTGGACGACATGGTCATCAAAAGCAAAAAAGAAAGTTGTTCTCTACAAGACATAGCGGATAATTTTTCTAACCTAATAGTCGCGAATATGAAGTTGAACCCTCAAAAGTGTATCTTTGGGACAGAGGAAGGAAAATTCCTAGGGCACGTCCTCACAAAGGATGGTATAAAGGCGAACCCCAAAAAAGTAGAAATACTGCTAGAAATGCGATCCCCAAGGACAATGAAAGAAGTACAAGCACTAAATGGAAAACTAGCAGCATTAAGGCGATTCTTGGCAAAGTCTGCTGAGAAAACATACCCTTTCTACAAAACGCTGAAAAGAGTATTGGATAAAAAGACTTTCCGGTGGACGGAAGAAGCTGAGAGCGCATTTTGTAAAGTCAATATGGCGTTAGCCGAGGTACCTACTTTGACATCGCCAATCCCAGGTGAGGTTTTAACCATGTATTTAGCGGCATCCAGAATAGCAACCAGTTCAGTATTAGTGGCAAACAGAGAAGGCAAACAAGTACTCATATTTTTTGTAAGTCGTACACTACAAGGAGCAGAGAAAGGATATTCACATATGGAGAAACTATTATTATGTCTAGTCAATGCAGCAAGAAGATTAAGAAGACATTTCTTGGCACATACCATTTAAGTACTCACAAATATCCTATTATGTCAAGTGGTATTGAAACCGGAGAAGTCAGGAAGACTAGCTAAATGGGCAATGGAACTAGGAGAGCAAGGAATCATTTTCAAACCATGAACCAACATAAAAGCACAAGTCCTGGTAGATTTTATCACCGAAATAGCAGGCCAGAGGGAAATCATCGGTACTCAAATCAGATAACAACACTAAATACATGAACGCAACATAGAAAAATCAATGGATATTATTTTCCAATGGATCCTATTGTACAGAAGGCGCGGGAACCGACTTGATATTAACAAGCCCAACCGGGGAATAGATGACCTACGTGTTAAGATTCGACTTTCAAGTATCAAACAACGAATCAAAATATGAAGCACTCATTGCAAGGTTACACTTGGCTATTACGATGGGGTGTGAGCACATACATGCCTCTATAGATTCGATGGTCGTCGCGAACTAGACAAATGGCTTATATGAAATTCGAGGAAGGAATTTAGCACAATTCGCAGACAAAGTGAAAACATTAAGAAAGCCCTTTAAAAGCTTTAGTTAGAACATGTGCCAAGATAAAAAAAACAAACGTGCAGATGCGTTAAGTAAGCTTGCATCATCCACTTTTCCCCATCTAACCAAGAAAGTAATGGTAGAAATAGTACAAGTAAAAGCAATAGAGGAGAAACCGATAATGTTAGTAATAGCAAAAACAAGCGAAAAGAGGAAACTAATAATGGACTACCTAACGGATGGCAAGTTGCCTCCGGATGACAAGGAAGCTAAGAGGCTAAGGGTTAAGGCACCATCCTTTGTAATGGATAATGACATATTGTACAAAAAAGAGTATTTGACACCTCGCTTACGATGTGTAAATGGCAAGGAAGCAGAATACCTCATACGAGAGATGCACGAGGGAATGGCAGGAGCGTATGAGGGAGAAAGGACAATAGTACGCAAAATATCGCGAATATGGTACTATTGGCCGACTATGTATCAAGATACAGAAGGAGTGATCTACAGTTGTGAAAATGCCAGAAACATGCACCAATCCCAAGAAAGTCGGGAACCCCAATGTTTAGTATTAGTAGCCCCTGGCCTTTCATTCATTGGGGAATAGATATTGTCGGAATGTTCCCAGAAGCAACCGGGAAGGTCAAATTCTTAGTGGTGACAATAGACTACTTCACCAAATGGGTTGAGGCAGAACCATTGGCCATAATAACAGGCCATAACATGATCAAATTATTTTGGAAGCAAATCATTTGCCAATTTGGAGTATCGGACACATTAATTTCAGATAATGGTGCACAATTTGCGAATAACCCTTTCCGGGAATGGTCTGAAGAGCTCCAAATATATCAAAGGTTCACTTCAGTAGCACATCTAGAAGAAAATGTGCAAACTGAAGTCACCAATTGAACAATCATACATGGCCTAGAAACAAGACTAAACGAGGCCAAAGGACGATAGGTTAATAAACTCCAAATAGCTTAGTCTACGGCTCAGAAGCAGTGCTGCCATTAGAATTGATTATCCTCACAAATCGAACGACAAATATAAATATGGATAGTAATGATGACAACATAAGAACAAACGTGGATGTTTCCATGGAGCGAAGGGAGGTAGCAGCAATACAACAGGAACATTACAAAAAGAAAATGGAGAGTTATTACAACCAACGGGTAAAAGGTCACGGTTTCAAAGTAGGCGATAAGGTATTACGGAACAATGAAGCCAGTAAGCAAGAGCCACAGGGAAAACTATGTCCGACATTGTAAGGCCCATACATAATAAACGAAGCAAACAGAGATGGATCACACATCCTACATATAATGGAGGGAGAGATAATACCATGAACATGACATGTCAAAAACCTTAGGAAGTATTATGTTTGACCACGTAAGGGTTGTTACAGCAATTGGCACGAGGACGGCAGAAGCAGAAAATATTATCATTAGACCCTGTCTGTCTCATGTAGATGATGTCAGAAATTATGGCAAGACCGGTCGCTTTATGATAAATAGAAAAAAAAACTTGGCTACCTGCTTAGCCCAAGAATACACTTATTCTTCAAAACATGTAGCTCGGTCCGCCGACTACACTTATGTATACATCGAGTATCACTACTCGACAAAAGTCTACCCGCTTAGCCCAAGAATACACTTATTCTTCAAAACATGTAGCTCGGTCGGCCGACTACAATTATGTATACATCTAATATCAATACTCGACAAAAAGGCTACCCGCTTAGCCCAAGAATACACTTATTCTTCAAAACATGTAGCTCAGTCCGCCGACTACACTTATGTATACATCGAGCATCACTACTCAACAAAAAGGCTACCCTCTTAGCCCAAGAATACACTTATTCTTCAAAACATGTAGCTAGGTACGCCGACTACAATTATGTATACATCGAGTATCACTACTCGACAAAAAGGCTACCCGCTTAGCCCAAGAATACACTTATTCTTCAAAACATGTAGCTCGGTCCGCTGACTACAATTAATGTATACACCGAGTATCACTACTCAACAAAAAGGGTACCCGCTTAGCCCAAGAATACACTTATTATTCAAAACATGTAGCTCGGTCCGCCGACTACACTTATGTATACATCGAGTATCACTACTCGACAAAGAGGCTACTCACTTAGCCAAAGAATATACTTATTCTTCAAAACATGTAGCTTGGTCCACTTACTACTATGAATACATCGAGTATCACTACTCGACAAAAAGGCTACCTGCTAAGCCCAAGAATACACTTATTCTTCAAGTCTTATAGCTTGGTCCGCTGACTACACCAATACATCCATTACACATCAAAATACCCAAAAAAACATATTAGTTCACACCAAGTATCAACCCAGATATCTACTTAACATCCGTTAGACGAAAACAATGTGTTACCAGACGCATAAATTAATTTCCAATTACTTAAATACATTAGCAAACCAACGATTCCAACAACAAACTAGTCACCAACAACAACAATCAATGTACCAAAACAAACTAGCCATAGAATCAGAGTCGGTTAGGCATACAAGCGCAACACCAAGTTCACGCTTGTCTACAAAAACAAGAACATAACTGACTCACATAACCCACACTATCAAGACTTGTTAAGAATCTAAGAACACAACACATTGTTCTCCTAGAGACAAGCTTCATACTTTGCCTGAATGAGGATCCCTTGATTTTCCAGAGAAGTTACCTTGGTCACAACATCCCGATAACGTATATATAAGTCAGCATACATCTCTCCAGCTTTCACCAGCATTTCCTCTCTTGCAAGCTTCATGCCTTCGGCAACACGTACATTCACCTCCACGACCAAAAACCGGCCTCGCAAGGTTAACAACCCATCAAAAAATTTGAGATCTCAGCCGAATACGGCGGAGATAATTTTTTCAGCACGAGCTATAAACCGGCATGCTTCGTTTAGCTCTCCCTCAAGAAACACACAAGAAGGACACCTACCTACGACGTTAGGAAAACGACATTAATGGAACAAAGTAATCACGAACAACGCACATTATTGATGTAAATACATAACACACGCCAATCCATTTACATACCAACCGACTTGGGGGGAACATAACCAAAGGACAACGGAGACGCATCGAGGGCCTACATGGGAAATCTCTTGGAGAAACGGATCAAATTGATCAGGCGAAAGGACCCGCCTATGTTTTCAGCTCGAAGAGACACCTAAAGGGGGCACAACTTCTATGGACCTAAAAGAACCGACCTGTACAGAACCAATAACAGGGCAAGATGTGTCCAACAACTGCTCGATATAGAAAGCATTCGACCCAAAACCTGGGAGCGCAGGGGGAAATTCGGGTGTCACAGGCATCTGGTCCATATTTTGGTCAGGAACCATCTCATCCACCACAATGGACTCAGGTGGGATATCACCGGCCAAATAAGAAGTCAGCTGGAAGGAGCATTTACTCCCATCTGTAATAATAAATGAGCACAAAGAAAACACCTAGAGGTAGCATTTATATCAGGAGATTACCTAAAACTAGGGAAAGAAAAGACAAAGGAACTTTTGCTAAATACAGTAAGGGTTAGACAAACCTGCATGACATACAGATAACACTGGTAGTTTATAGTGGGCTTTTTAGAATGGACTCATATGATATAGGGCAAGTACAACTTCCTATAGAAATGCCCTCTTTACACAGAAATGCGAAAATAAAGGAACAAATCCAAGAAGACCGGAAGACAAAGTCACCAAGTCATAACCAAGTGAAACATACCATGGGACAAATGGCAAACACAATCTATATATGTTGACCCAGCAGAACCTACTTTTCCAGTTCCCATTTGGACGAGCTAAATCTGGAGACAGAGGAAAGTGACGACTACTGAAAGAAAACCAGTCACCACACTTCTTCAAACGATAAAAATAACAAAACAAGGAAACATCAAGGGGTATTTCATGAGCAACGCAAAAAAAAACTTCGAAAGTAACAATCTTTGACACTGCATTCGGAAATAGCTGGACAAGATGAACTTTGTAATAACAAAGAACCTCTAAGAAGAAGCGAGACGGGGGTAACAATAACCCACACATAAGATGTCGAAGATAAAATCCAACCTTACCGGGCGGGGAATCAAGAACAGAAGAAGATGAAGACGGAACTTGGAAACCAAGTATAAGAGAAAGGTGAAATCCATGACTGTACCGCTCTAGCATGTAACAGTCCACTTCGGAAGCCACTGCAGACATGTCATCACCCATACCATTTACAGTGATGGCAAAGTCAAAGGGAAAGGTTTTGGAATTAAGTGGAGGTCCTGGATATGTGAATGTCTAAAATTGGGAACATCCTCTGTTTTGGTGAATGGTTGCCCGACTACGGAGTTTGAATTGCAGTGTGGCTTAATACACGGAGATCCTATCTCCCCCTTTTTATTTACTCTTGTTATGGAAGGGCTAAACTATGCTATTAGAAAAGCGAGTGATAACGGGACATATAAAGGAATGACGGTGGGGGAAGATACTGTTTTAATAACTCACTTATTTTTTTGTAGATGACTCTATTTTTTTCGGGGAATGGTCTGTGGAGAACATACTGAACTTGATTAGAATTCTTTTCTGTTTCCAAAAGACGGCGTGCCTCAAAGTGAATCTTGATAAAAGCTCTTTGTTTGAAGTTATGAGAGATCGAACTCAGGTGGAGACGATGACACACGTTATCGGATGCAAAGTGGACCAGATGCCTTCCACTTTTTTATGCTTGCCAATCAGAGTCAACATGAGATCAAAGAGACCTTGGAATATTCTCGTTGATAAATTCAGAAAGAATTTGAGTAGATGGAATATAAAAACCCTATCAATCGGAGGAAGACACACAAGTTTTTGCAATGTTTTGGGCAACCTTGGTACATTTCTATTCTCCTTTTTCAAGGATCCTAAGGGAGTAACTAAAAAGCTGGAAAACCTTCGCAGAGAGTTTTTTTTGTTTTTTTTTTTGGGGGGGGGGGGGGAACCAAAGTATGGCCAAAATCCCATCGGTAAAATGGCGAAAAGCTTTAATGGGAAAAGAGAAAGGAGGTCTAGGTATTGGCTCTTTGGAGGATATGAATAAAGCTCTATTAGCTAAATGGTGTTGGAGGTATAAAACTGAACAAGGAGCCTTATGGATTCAAATAATTGATATTATACATGGTAAATATACGTGTATGGAAGAATCAAGGACAGTTAAGTCTAGTTTTACCTGGAGGCAAATTGTGAAACAATGGAATCTCCTTCAATCTTGGGAGTTAGACCCCAAGACATTGATTAAAAAACAGATAGGTAATGAGAGGAGTACATTTTTTTGGTATGATTGGTGGATAGGAGAGAGACCGCTAAAGGAGGAATTTCAGAAATTGTTTCATATCGATAATAATCAGAGAGCAACTGTTGAGGATCGAATAGGGATTAATGGAGGCTCGTGGAACTGGCAGGGGATAATTAGAGATGGTAGAAGTAAGAAGGAGCTCGATAAATTAATGGAGAAGTTATCCTTTGTTACTCTATCGGAGACATATGATTGTTGTAGATGTCATGGTGGCCCTAAGGGGCAGTTTACAGTGCTTGGATGAGAAAGGAACTGGAAAAGAAAAATCAAACGGGGACGAGCAAGAACAGATGGTTCAAATGGATCCCGAAGGTGGAGATTTTTGTTTGGAGACTCTTAAAAAACAGAGTAGCAGTTAAAGATGTTTTAGGTCGAATGGGTATTAGTCTAGATTCGTTGATATGTGGAGTTTGCAAAGAAAAGGAAGAAACCGTGAAACATGCGTTCTGGGAATGTGGTAAATTAAAAGAGGTTTGGGCCAAATTTCACCGGTAGTGGGGCCTGGTGGATTGTGAGCCCAATAGCATGGAAGACATGTTAGACGGTTTAGAAGCCCAAGCACAAAGTCCGTTGGAAAAAAAGGTTTTGGTCGTGGCGGGCATAGCTACATTGAGTTATATATGGCAACAAAGAAATGAACCAATATCCAAAATTTAAACCGGAGTGTTGAGGACATTTTTTAAAAGCTCAAAAGGAGGCGTTCTTGTAACACCCGTAAATTTAAAAGGTTAAATATGGAAATAAAACCTTATTTCTAAAGACCAACTCATCGAGTTTAAGGAATAAACTCGACATGTTGGAAAGTTGGGACGCGCGTTTTGGAAGACCAACTCGACGAGTTGGGGAGGATCAACTCGACGAGTTGGACAGGATTTGGTAAACCCTAGATCCGAGATTTTGCACCCTATTTAAACACCTTATGCTTTAGGGTTTGGCTTCATTTCCAGCCTCCACTGTCCTAACCCTAGATCTCGAAACCCTAATGCTATTGTGAGTGAATGTGAGCCATTTTGGAGTATTCTTGTGGGTGTTTGAAGTCTTGGAAGGAAGAAAAGTTTGAAGGAACAAGGAAGAGTTGTTAGATCCAGAAATCTCACTCCATTTTCATCACTTTCTGGTAATCAAGTCTCAAACGTGACTAATAGTTGATTAGATCTCTTTCTTAGCATTTTTTGCTTGTTTTTGGTCCAAATGATATGGTTCTTGAGAGTTGGACGTCCCAAATGGAAAGCACTTCAGATCTAGAGTCTTGAAGGACGTTCATGGCATAAAGGTGCCAGCTTTATGGCCATGGAAGTCCCATGCAACTTCTAAGCCGCCATTTTGGTCTTTGGAGCTTCTAATGGCCATGAATGTAGAGAAAGCTAAGAACTTTACGTGATACTTTGGCTCTTATGTCCCAGATCTATGATCCCATAGTCTATCTTGTAGTTTTGGTGATGTTGGGATTATGAATTTGGCCTTTTGGGTTAGGATTTGGACTTAATTCATTTAGGAAAAGGTATTAATGGGTAAAGTTGGAAACTTTACCCTTCTAGAGGAATTTTCAGTTGAGATTTGAAGTTTAGGGTTCAGATCTGAAGGATAATGGCCTAATGAGGTAAGAAGGGGCTAACAGACTGAGGAACTCGACGAGTTCAAGGATGGACTCGACGAGTTGAAGTGAAGTGTCCCAATTCCGTTGAAAGGAAGAACTCAGTGAGTTCAAGGATGGACTCGATGAGTTGGATCGTGAAATCATGATTCTGTGATTCATAGGAACTTGGCGAGTTGAGTCAACTCGGAGCGTTGACTTTGACCTTGACCTAGACTTGACTTTGACCATGGTTGACCCTAAGGGGTTGTGAGTATGAAATGGCACCTAGAGGGTTGTTTGGTTCAAGGATTGAGTAGAGCCAATTGCGGGGCATAGACATTAAGCTACCATCCGACATTTGAGGTGAGTTTCCTCCTGTAGGGACAGGTCGAAGGCACCAATGTCGGCCCTTATTTATGTTATGTGTTACCAGATTACGATCCGATGCCCGACGGTGCCCGAGGAATGTTGGTATGCTTGATGTCTTAGTGATTCTTGCATATGTCTATAGTCTATGTTTCTGGATCACGGTCCGATGCCGGGCGGGGCTCGATGAATGTTTATATGTATGATTCCGGACTACGGTTCGATGTCGGGTGGTACCCGATGACTATGTGTATGTTTAGTTATACTTGTTGTCTTTGTGATACTCGCATGTTCCTGGTAGGGAGGTGAGTGTGGGCGGGGGCCCGTATCTCATCACTAGCTGAGTGTGGACAGGGTTCCATATCTCATCATTAGCAGAGTAGGGGCGGGGCCCAAGATAGGCTAGGCCTTAGGACTGGAGCATATATTACTGTGTATGATTTATTATGTGCTAGTATGATTATATGATATAATTGTATGTATAGCGGGCGAGGCCCAGAGACAGGCGGGGCCTGGGAGAAACAGATCTATATACCGAGCGAGGTTCGATGCCAGGCGGGGCCTGATGTCGGGCGGGGCCCGAGGAAGGGGCGGGGGCCCGATATATGTGTTATGTGTATGGTATGTGGTAGTTTGGGGAGACTCACTAAGCTTCGTGTTTACGGTTTTCAGTTTTGGTTTCAGGTACTTCCGGTAGCAAAGGAAGAGCTCGGGATGACCGCATTGCACACACCATGATGTTTAGCCTGGGATGTTTACTCTGATGTTTTGATTTGGAAACTGTGATAATATACTATGGTTTTATTTAATAGTTTAAAATGAAATTGTTGGTCATGATTTTTGGGATGTTATAGTTCTTATGAATTGACAGTAGATCAAATAAAATGGAGATTTATAGGTGTTTATGGCTTAATTCTCCTAGATTAGCGTTTAAATCTATGTAACATTTGTTGCTTTGGGTGCCCTAACTTTTTTTTGGGGTTTGCCTCCGTTTTAATAAAGTTGCCTTTCATATATATATATATATATATATATATATATATATATATATATATATATATATATATATATATATATATATATATACTCATTTCAAATATGCCGCTTAAGTGCTCCAGCGTACCGGGCCGACTGAAGAGATCATATTCATATATGAATATGTATATTTATATATGAATAAGTATAACGGAAGTGATTATCTATATACGAATATGACGACGAATGGTGGTGGCGGAGGTGGCAGTTGGTTGTGGAGGTGGTGATGGTGGGTGACAGCGGTGGTGGTGGTTGGTGGCGGAGGGAGGTGGTGTATTCATATATGAATACACATATATTTATATTCATATATGAATATTACTCAACCTCCGTCGGCCTGGTATGCCGGAATATTTTACGGCAAAAATAAATGATTGGCTGAGAATTATTCTCTCATTCTCAACTTTTTTCTATTTTCTGAATTGTATATATATATATATATATATATATATATATATATATATATATATATAGTAAAACCTCTATAAATTAATAATGTTGGGACTGAGATATTTTATTATTTTAGCAAGATATTATTATATCGATAAATTAATAAATTATTAATTTAAAGAGTTGGCTTATATTCATAAGCAACTCTCACATTAATGCATCGTCCTTCAAAATTTTCATGTTCGTTCAGTTTACCAATTTGAATAAAACAGAAACAATGATCTTCTAAATTCTCATGTACATTCACACATTAATGAACTTGTCAAATTCAATGTACACCGATCTAGATTGATCACTGTAAAATGTCTAATGACAAATTTTAAAATCACATCAACTTTGGCTTCTAAACTAAAAGGTGTTAAAATATCAATGTACATAGATCTAGAATTTTGGAATATTTTAGAATTATTAATTTATAGTTTTGCTGGGACCAATATATTTACATTGAGATTTCAAAAAAATTATTATTTTATTATTTTATCGATTGAGATCCATTTTTGTACTGATCCCAAGTTGGAACGGGACAAAGTATTATTTTTATCAAGATTATTAATTTATCGAGTATTAAATTATAGAGGTTCTATTGTATAGGATCATATGTATTTATATATATAACTTTTTATTATTACAATAGAACATCATAATAATGAAAAATGATAGATTTCGACATAAACATTATTACAAATGTTTATTTTTTAAGTTATTCCAATCAAAGTTAGTTTGAACCGTAAGTTGTAATAAAATCTTGAAATTTTGTTTGTATATAATTTGACTTGGTATGCAACACTAAGTAATGGCGACGTGTATTTTTGCCTTTCTTTTTTGTCCATGAAGACTTCTTCACAGATTGCTTTTTGGTTTATATATATATATATATATATATATATATATATATATATATATATATATATATATATATATATATATATATATATATATATATATATATATATATATATATATATATAAACGCCGATGAATAATTTATTTCGACGGTTGTTTTTTTACAAAAATATTACGTTCCAAAGATAATACATATCTAAGTCAATAGAATCAAACTTTAGTGTTATTTGCAATATGATACATCAGATAATTGGTAAAAAAGAAATGGTTCAAAACGACACAAATATGAAATATTTTAGTCGTTCAAACAAAAATAATAGAATTATATAACAATGGACAAATGAAATGTATTTACCGTCCAAATGCTCATCCTTACCTTCAATACATAATACCACAACATCAACTAAAATGAAATTTATATGATATACGTAAAGAGTTGAAACGAATTTACTTTTCAAACACTTGAAACTTCCGATTAAATACTTCTATAATTACCAAAGTAGTAAGTTTTATAATTGCCTTTTATAACTTATTATCTATATTTAATTTTAGAATCTTAAAAATGACAACTTTTTGAAAGATATTAATGTTAAATTGTGATTTTAAAACAAAATAATGCATACGAGCAACAATTTCAAGTAGTTAGATTTCAAACTTAGAATTTATTTATTTATGTATTTGTTTTTTTATAGGGCTAATGCATGTATTTATGGCTGAAGTTTACATGTGACAAGTAAAATTTTACAATTTTTTTATAAGAGTAAATTACACGAATGGTCACTATGGCTTAGGGTAACTTGCGTGTTTGGTCCCTAATTTATTTTTTTAACTCGAAAGGTACCTACTTTTTGTTTTTGTTATGCGTTTTGTCCCTGTCTTACCTAAAAAGACTATTTTGCCCTTGATTTTTTAACTTATTTAAATAAACACACCCTCAACCCCACCTTCTCACCTTACCTTAACTTCCCCATCAT